CTTTTCATCTATACAACTGAAAGCAATTGAGCTAGCATTGAAAATTAAATAATAAATAGATCACAGTTTCAGATTAGACCCGACCAGAGTACTTTCAATAAAATAGTTCACACAATTCTGCCCCTGCCTCCATTTTCCAAGCACTGTGGGATGGATCCACACGTGCTGTGGTTGCTATGGGTGGAGAGCAGAGGGAGGAGGTCTCTTCTGCTCTCCCCTTCTCTCAGTTGTTCAGTATTGAGGGTCTGCTAAGACATTGACAGATATATTGGAAAAAGCTTTTTTAAATTAGTTTTTTTTCTCTAACATCTAATACTATGTATAAAATGTCAAGCTCGTTCTCCTCACAGGGATTAAGAGAGTAGCTTTAGCATATTAAATACCTGTCCTCTAACCTCTCTACATGTGGCATATAAAACCTGACTCTGCCAGGATATGTGCCACATAATCAAATTCTGCTTCATTAATACTTGATATCCCACTATGCAGGCTTTCATTAAATTATATGATCATTTATTAATCAAGCACCAACATATGCAATGGCTCTTTATATTTGTAACTGAATAAATTCAGTTCAAACATTGCCAGGAGACAAATATTGTAACTTTATTTTCTCATTTCTATTCATAAACTTGAAATTTTCTAACTTGTCATATTTATCAGGCAGAGCTTAAAAGAACACTCCCACCTACACGCCAGTTATTATTATTATTATTATTATTATTATTGCCAGTTCTGCACAATGAAGTTGTTATGGGGGTAGAGTGTTCAGGATCTCTCTTGGCTTCAGGGATTCTATTCCATACCATAACTCCTAGCACTCTTAGGCTGAGAGTGTCAGCATATCACCGGCTGTCTGGCAAACCTTCCTGTTCAGAAGGAAAAGAAGAGGTGAAGTGTCGGATCTACTGGCACTAGGGATCTACTTCAGGGTTAAACCTTTGGAATACGGTTAAACACACTCCTTTCCCCATTATGGCTTAATTGAGCTAAAGTTCTTATGGTGGTGGAAGTGTTACTTTAAAGTTTGTAGTAGTGGTTATCAAACCAGGATTGTCTCAGATTTTATTTTTTGCCTGAAGCTGAAGCAAGCAAAGTGAATTGCTAATGTAGGACCCACCTAAGAGGTTTGCCTTGACGTGGAAGGTGGGCTTACATCTAATGGCCCCCTGAGTGGAACTAAAAACCTCCATTTATTTAAATATGCATAGGGATTTGGAATAATGCACAAGTAACTTTTTTCTTTGGTTTTTATTGCAAGTATATTTGGCTTACATTCTGCCACGCTACATATTCACTATAATTCAGTACATTCTGCCTAAGGTCAGCCTTGCTACATTTTCATTTTGGTTCAGTGCATTTGGCCTACATTCAGTCTCACGTTTCTACATTACTACTGCATTTCGCTTTGGTTCAATACATGCGGCCTAAGTTCGGCTATGCTACATTTTAACTGTGGTTCAGTACATTTACATTTGATTCAGTACATTCAGCCTACATTCGGCTGCGCTTTCACTACCTTATTTCTAAGTCTCTTTCGGCCACGCCACCTATCATTAGGCATAGAGATGTCGTGAACCGTCCGCGAACTTCTCGCGAACGGTTCGCCGCGACTCGCGGCGAACTCCGGTCAGCTGACACGTCCCGGCCAATCTCCAGCAGACCCTCCCTCCCGGACCCTCTTACTTCCTGGACAGCATCCATGTTGAAACAGGAAGTTCGCGGACGGTTCGCGACATCTCTAATTAGGCATTTACATATTCTTTGTTATATCACCAGTTAGTTTCTAGGTAGTTTTAACCATGTTTACTCCACTGGATCCCTAAATGTAATTAAAATAAGTGTCCTACTTGTGCTGCTTTTTTTTAAACATGCACTGTTAAAGCGGCTCTGTCATCAAATCCTTCCCCTGTCCTCCAGCCTTAAGTGCCCCTAACCACCTCCACAACGTTTAGACTGGTGCTCCTTTTCTTCATTAGGCTAGTCCTATTGCGTCTTTTTCCTCTGTGTCGCCATTTTGGAGTTTCCAAGATGGTGGCAGCTGGAAATAGCTTGCTCTGCCATACCAAAGGTGTGCCCAGTGCATGTCCGCACCGACAGGTAATGACACAATTCTGCCTGAAGTGACGCGTTGATGAAAGGAGTTGAGTAACTTGACAACCAATGTCAAAATTTGACAAAGGACTTGGAGCTAGACTAAGGCTCTACGGTTTGTTAATCTGCAGGTAATACATAAAGAAACTAGGGACTGTTCCTTTTATAGGAGACAGCTACTAGAGGCAGTCTTAAACAGTCTTCTCTGAAATTGCAATGTTTTGCATTGCAAGGTTAAGGGGACAGGGACACTGCACCCACATTACGTCAATGAAATGAAGTCATAATGTTCCTTTTTGAGTTTAAAGGGACACTATAGGCACCCAAACCTATAAGTGCTGACAACAGGTGCTCCCTAGTGGACAGGCACCTGTAAGAAGATGCCTACCCTGCCTAATGTGAAATCCGGCCATGTATCTATGAACTTGCACATGTGTAACATTTTGGTTAATGATGTCAAGCATGCACTATTTATCCATTTTGAACACCTTATTTCTAGTATGCATACGATATGATTATACAGGTTCTTCTTAGAAGTTTATCAGTGGATCAGACTGACAGCTTGTGTCTTGGGTGAGAATCTTTCTACTTAAACATTTTACTAATCCTAAAAGTGCTGATTTTCTCAAGCCCATATTCTTTTGTTAGAGATTACTGTCTGAAACGCATTGTACTGGAAGGAAAAGCTTTTCCAACTATAAATCTGATTTCTGTGCAAACAAGTGGTATCCTATCCTTACTAACCCATTTTCTACAGTTAATCTTGCTATCCCTACAATGTGACTAAAGATGAAGTCTAATAGTGTCTAGCCCATCCTAGGTTAACAATATGTTGAAATTAGAGTGCACATTTGTTTACCCAAGCATCCTATGTGGTCTGGCACACTTTTTTTTAATTTGTGCAAATAGTGTGATAATTATAAGAGATGGTGACGTGGTGTAGATACAAAACAATAATAAGTGAAAAGGCAAGGGTCCCTACACACCCAGGCACATGAAACAAGTTGAACTGACATATTACAATCTCAGTCCACAATGGGTATTGGAGCCCTACATAACCATAGAAATTGAATTTTTCCAGGTTAGAAAGTCCCTAACCTTTGGATAAGCACTTATGCACTTTTAGGTGCCAACAGCTGCTTTCTGGTCACCCCTCCATCCCTGGTTATAACAATAGGAGAGGGTAATGGGTAGAGATGACCAAATTCTAATCTTGGGACAAAATTACATGGATGCTACATTCTCTTTGCTGAATCTCACCACCAGCAATATATTTAAACATAAAGAGACACAATGTTGTTATTTATTAGTAACCAGGAGAATGCTTTTACTTTGGCTTGAGGGCAAGTACAAACAAATTGCCTTTGAGAATTTGGTGCAGTACAAACAAAAACACAAATCTGTGTGAATGGTCTTTCCAATATGGCTCATACTATATATGGATTTAACAGATGGACCAGAATGTATGATACGTTTCTCTTGCACTGTCTCCGCTTACCCCACAGCCACTTGCAAACAGATCCAGTATCACAATCTATTCAGACCCAGGCACTAAAGTTTTTTGAAAATATCTCAGTAGGCCATTCCAAAATTACGTAATTCAGTATAAAATAGCCAAGCTACTTAAAAGTGGTTCATGTGTTAAATGCCACCAAATTCTACATCCCCTCTAAGAATAATCACATTTCCTTATATTGAAAACAATATAGAATTCTGGAGGAAATACACTTTTCCCTCTCTAGTATTTATCACCACCATTTGACCACACTGTTGAACCGGTTAGTCTTAAAAATACACAAAAGGACAATAACCTTTTTAAATTGCTTTGGCTGATTGTGGATATCCAGAGACTTAAAGGAACGCTCCAGCACCATAATCACTACAGTGCTGTGTAGTGATTATCTTTCCAGTAGTGTTCCTTTAAGCGTATGAACCTCCAACTTGGGTGTGTACCTCCAACTAATCTTGGGCAGAGAGGTACATGTCCTTTACCAATCAAGAGAGTGCACACAGTGATCTAGTAGATGTAGTAGAGGGATGGGGGACAGTTTGTTTGGGAGATCTTCATGAACTATAATTCACAAATTTTACTATTAACATGACGTAAAGTCATGATTTTATTAATGACACAGAGGTAAGTATTTTCCCTCCCTCCCATCCCTGGAGGTTTGGACTTCTCTAGGTAAGTTGACTGTAAGTCTTTTTTTATTACTGGGTTTTATCCTTGTTAATGACTGTCAAGAGCTTAAGGCTTGACTAAACTGAATGTCATGTTATGTATGTATGTATGTATATATATGATATTCCATGTAATGCTTTTTTTTTTGTTGCATAAATCCAGTTTTATACTTGGATATTACCATATTCTCCTCTCTCTTCCAGCTTGACTTCAAAGTCCAGGTTAAGGCTCGCATACCCTCTTATTGGAGCCCCAAATTTCATTTGGAGTTGTTGTCCTTGTTCGGTATCGCAAGAAAGAGGAAGTAGTATACTGGATACCGCCTATTATGCTATGAAGACAATGCTGATTGGCTGTTCCTGTTGCTAGGAAAATATACCTCATGTTATTTACTGGTTTCTTTTATTCTGATTTAATGTAATTTTTATTTTTTTTGCTGCTGAGGGAAATAAAGAAAGAGTGCAGCAGCAAATCATGTCAAAGTGTCAGTTCAGCTCACTCGAATATTGTATCTGCAAACAACTTCCGAAAACCTATTTGGATAAACTAAAAGGGTGTTAAAAATGTATATGTATGTGGCCTGACCTCCTGCAATATTCGAGCAAATAACCACATGTAAAAACACAAAATGGTGTGGAAAAGTACTGGCGCTTTAAATTCCTTTTTTGTTTTATTTTTATCTGATATAGGTGCCGAATACACTCTGTGGGTACTCCCAAGATCCCACCACAAATTGTAATCACCAAAAACACATACAACTTTGAATCTGATTGGTGTCTCCACTTTCCAGATTCTCAGTCAGAGTGCAGCACTGTATTAATATTTTAAAGTGCACATACAACAGAATGCAGGTACATAAACACTTACCCCTTTAAGAGTATATCTCAGGGGATTTACATGGAAATAAATGAGAAAAACACATAGAAATAGTGTGATATTGTATAATATGAGTGAATTAATATTAATCAGGTGAGTGAAAATACACTCACGTTTTTAAGAGCCTTTTCTGAGGTTTAGGCTCTAAACTCCAGCGTATCTGTGTTAAGGTAGACAGCATTAAACCCTCTTAAGGCTTTAATTCCTTTTCAATTGTTCTGGTCTGGAGCACTTCGCAGACATACTCCTGTGGAGAAATTCAGTTCAGCAGCAGTTTGGATGCGCAGTTTGCTCTTCCGGACCTTCGGCCTACTGAGGCTGGTTGCAGCCCCGCTATCTGTCCCCTCTGGACCAGTGGGGGTTATCCCGGTCTCCACTAAGAAACTTACCTCTATGCTCCGGCAACAATCTCTGCTGTTCCTGCACAGCATGGTGTGAAAGATTGCAGCTGAGCCGCAGCTCACCATGTGCCAGGTGAGCCTGGAGACTCCGACATGGATAGAAGGCTTTGAGGCTAGATTCGACAGGATATGCCTGAAGTTTTGGCTCGGATGGGATTCAGATCTCCTGAGCGCATCATGCAAGCAACTTACCTGATTCCAGAGCCAGTTCCAGCTCACTGTTCCTCTTCTTGGACGGGGGACTTCAAAGAACAGGCTCCACCACGCCGTCAATACACCCGGGGGGTTCTCCATATCCTGAAGTCCCCACAGGCCTGTGGGCCTTCTGACAGGAAAAAGATCAATGAACTCAGGGCATTGGCTCCAATAACGGCCTGGACTAAAGGTAATGGAAGACCCTGGCACCAGGAATCATATCCCTTATGACTAACTGTAGCCCTCCCACCCTGACCTATTACATTAATGGACTCTTTGCTGCGACCCGTGTGTGGCATAGGCTGAAGGCTTGAAGCTGGAGGTTCTACTGTTTTCAGCGATAACAGTTGTATTATGCAGAGTCTTATGTTCTTTTCTTTAAAGTTAAAACAAAATAGCTGAAATGCCATTGAGATTTGTATCTTTCGAACCAACCATACAGTTATATAATTTTATTCACTTCTAGTCATCAATCTATGTTCAACATGCTTACCTAACTCTCTATAACAGTCTGATGCTTAGACTTGTTTACCTAGTTTGACTACCTAACTTAAGCCTAGAGGCACTTAGCTTTTTCTCATCTTGTTATTTATTTATTTTTTTACATGAGGCCGCTTTATTTAGGAGCGTATTCCAAATATATGACAATGCTTTTTGTATTATTATCTACCATATTTCCTATGTTTTCTTTGTTATGTTTTATTCACATGCCTTAATAAAAGAATGCTTGACAAAATAAAAAAATGTGTATGTATTTTGCAGTACAGCAACAGGCTCATTTTAGCACACTTTTAATTAAGCTAATCCTGGTCAAAATCCAGTCAACTGAATTCCGACTGAATAGAATGGTATTTTACGATTCCAATTCAGTCCACATTGTATCAATAATTTAAGCATTGGGTTGGGTATTTTTAGTGTTCGGACTAGGTGATCCCTGGTCTCTCTCTATATAATTTATTGGAATTCTTTCTTTCTGTTTTAGATGTGATGGCTGTCCCCTAACCCAAAACAACACTTTGAAGTCCCTTGGCATGCCAGTCCTATATTATATATAATTATAATTTGGCACAGTGCTGCTCATAGGTCACCTAGCCCAGGGTTAGGGGACAGCCACCAAATCTAAAATAGAAAGAAAGAAATCAAATAAATAATGTAGAGAGACATATATTAAATAAATAATATAGAGAGATATATTGGATAAACAAATAGCTTGCACTCACGGTCTTTAAGGTTAAAACGCCATGCTTTATTGAAGAAATATTAAAAAGCTGTGGATCTCTAAAGAGTTATATATATATATATATATATACACACACACACACATCAAACACAAACTTCAAGGAATCCATGTTTTAAATGGAATAATGAGAAAAAAAATGATTCTTTGTTGAACTAATTTGCATATGCCCATCCAGAAATTGCCCAGAATCTTATCAACCAAAAACACTAAAACAACTATACCTCCCAAGCGTCGTGTATCTGATGGAGATGGTGTTGGAGGGAAAGGATGCAGCTATACGAAAGCACATACTTTATGCTAATTTCTCTCTAATTTATGCTTTCAGCTTTCAAGTAAATCCATACCCCCTAATAGCAGTGTCCAGTAGAGCAGGAAGTCAATGGGCAGGTAAAAGAGTGTGCCACTGACGCGAATCACATGACCAGACCTGCCAATAGGGGTGAACATGCCCAAAAACGAGGCATGTTTGTCCAAAGAATTGGAAGTCCAGACTGGCATGAATGCATGCCAGGCTGCCTGACAATCATGCAGGCTGTCCAGCTAAGGGCATAGTATGCAGGCAGCACCCTGAGCTTGACATAAATGCATCAAATGATGCGCCTACTCCACACTTTCTAAGGACTGTCCCCTAGCACTCACACGTCTACTTGTCTCCTTATCATCTTACTAGCAGGCAGAAGTTCCTGGTATATAGGCTGGTACAGAGTAAAGTTGTATGTAGTGAGTGTAGAAGAAAGGGGACATGCCACAGTGTTAGAGAAACCAAAGTCTGCATTACCTAAACTAATTTTATTGTCAGCTAGTCCGCACAAGTTTTGTTGCCATACATTCCTCTTAATTTTCCAAACTTAAAGGGACACTATAGTCACCAGAACAACTACAGCTTATTGTTTTTGTTCTGGTAAGTAATGCAAAAAGCCTGAAGGGAATGATTCTAAACACAGTCTTTTCAGAGAAAATAAGTCCACTAGCCACTGCTAGATGTGCTTCCTGGGGCAGTACTGCCTAGTGTGCAGCACTGCCATTCAGTGTCTCCACCCTCTGCATGCATTGAACTTTCCTCATAGAGATGCATTGATTCAATTTATCTTTATGAGGAGAAGCTGATCGGCAAGGGCTATGTTTGACTTGTGTTGGCTCTGTCCCTGATCTGCCGAGTTGACAGTCTCAGCCAATCTTTTTTTTTTTTTTTTTAATTCTTTATTTTTGGTATGCAGATAGGTACAGCAGTGCCTGTATCGCCACAACAGCGTCAGCAGGCTCGATTTCCAAAATAATTTTATAACAGTATTGTGGCATATAGGGTATGCATACATTTTTTAAATAGGAAAGGTAACGATAATTAAGAGGTCTAACATTCATTGACTGACGCCACAACAGCGTGTTGAACGAAGTACTAAGATTAGACAGTGGCTTAAGAGATTACCCATGTTATGTAATGGTAACAAGCTTGGTTAGACAGTGAAATCGTTAGATTAAAGTAAAACAAAATAAATAATATGCTTAGGTTACAGGCTATACGTCGCATTTCTGGATTAAGTGTTAAGGTAAGTATAGCATGAGTAGGAAGTGCATGCTAAGTAAAACATATACGCTTGTGGCGAGGAAGAAACACAACAGAAAACAATACTATGGCATGCTATGTAGATGCTTCAATTTTACAATTAAGGTGTTTCAGTAGGCAAGAGTGTATGAAAAAAGATATAGTGCAAGCGTATTAAGCATGACATGTAGTTGTTGCTTGTTATAAGAGAGTGAGAGGAGAGCGAGGCAGGTATGGCACAGAAAAGAAAACATATTAATAGCTGGAGTCTGCTCATTTACACAGGATCTGCGTTAACTAGGTTCTGCTTTGAATGGACAGTCCAGATAGCAATGATGAATCTAGTCCGAGGTATGTTAAGCGGTATGACATATGAAGCCATATACTGAGCAATATGGAGCTCACGGTTTTTAGAGTCCAGTCCGGGTTGTTCATCCCACGCCTGATGCTCGGAGGGTGGTGCTGGCGTGATGGATCTTGTGCGGGTCGTCGTCTATGTCTCCTTGCCAGATCCTTCCCCTGGTGAGCCCCATTGCGCTGGGTGCTTCGCTGCGGCTCTGGGACTGTCTCTTTAGCGCGGTCATCTTGTAGAGACTTCTGCCCTGCTGACCCACCGCTCGTTCCGGGCGAGGTTTACCTTGTCCGATTTCATGCCGATTGTTTGCTGCTAAGGCTGGTTGTTTGGGTCGGTGCTTCCTGAGTACCTGTGCGGTTTTAGGTATTAGCCCCGGTCCACTGCTGCTTTTTGCGAGGCTCCGAGTGTTGGGCCTCCTGGCCGTTCTTTGCAGGCGACATTTGTTTGCGGGCATGTATCTGGGGTCGGGGGTCCGCACTCCCCGCTTATCAGCTCCGTGAGAGCCCTGTTGTAGGATGACTTCAGGAGCTTGGGGTCTCATGCGCGCCTCTAACTTCTTCCAAAACGCGGCGAAAATTGCATTCAGTCTGAGTTCCATGTCGAGCTCCGCATCTCCTGGGCCTGCAGTGTGAGGGACATCCGCCATCTTGCGGGCTGCAAAGGCGGGAGTCCCGTGCCTCCTTGTCTCTGTCTCTCTCCTCCCGCTCTGCCAGAGAGTTGCGTAGGGGTGGACCGGGATGACCCCCACCGGTCCATAGGGGGGGGAACGGGTGTTCTGGGGCACTTTTCTGGCCTGTCTTGGTGGAGGGAGGGCGGCCGTCCCTCCCGCTCCTGCCATGCTGGTAGGCCTCATCCGTGTGACCGGTACGTACCGGGGCATGTGTCACTCGTTTGATATCGCCGTATGTGTCCCGGTGTCGTCTGTCACCTGGTGGCCTTTGATTAGCTTAGTAGTGTCGTTTTTGTGGCTTTTTCCTCGCTTTTTTGCGCTGTTCGGCAGGAGCTGCAGAGGTTTGCTTCCTCTCAGTCCTGCGGTCAGGCCCCGCCCCAGTCTCAGCCAATCTTATGGGGAAGTATTGTAATTTGCTCAGTCCACCACTTCTGATGATGTCGGTTCAGGGGCAGAGCCAGCATCTGCAGACTTGAATACAAGTAAGATTTTACTATATTTAGGGAGGAAAGAGGGGATCAGGGGGCTAGATGGTGGTTTTCGCATAATAGGGTCAGAAATACATGCTTGTGTTCCTGACCCTATAGTGTTCCATTAAGCAAGAGTATGTGAAGAGTAGTTAGGGTTGCCACCTTTCTTGGAAAAAAATACCAGCCTTAATCATTTGTATAATTAACTAGTTATGCGTGACATCACATGATGTAAATCACAAGGAGTGACATAAGAGAAAATTCTGTAAAATCACCAACAAATTACTCAATTTGATTCTGCTGTATAGATGAATTGCTCCCAGTGTCTCCCTGTCTCCCAGTGTCTCAGTCTCGCAAGTCACCCAGTGTCTTAGTGTCAGTGTCCCTATGTCGCCCAGTCCCATAGTCTCCCAGTGTCCCCATTTCTCAGTGTCCCCGCATGTCACAAGGATACTAGGGGACACTGGGAGACATGGGGACACAGAGACCCGGGGACACTGGGAGACATGGGGGCACTTGTGAATACAGACACAGAGACATGGGGACACTAAGACACTAGGGACATTGAGAGACATGGTAACACAGACACTGGGATACTAGGGGACACTTGTGGACATAGACATGGGGACACTGGGAGACATGGGGACACAGACACCTGGAGACTTGGGGACACTGGAAGACTTAGGGACACTGGCTGGGAGACATGGACACACTGGGAGACATTGGGACACTGTGTCCCTAGTGTCTCCATGTCTCAGTGTCTCCCAATGTCCCTGTGTCTCACACTGTCCCCTAATGTCTCAGTATCCCCATGTTTTCCAGTGTCCACAAGTATCTCAGTGTCCCCAGGTCTCCCAGTGTCTGTGTCCCCATGTGTCCCCTAGTGTCTCAGTGTCCCCATGCTGCCTT